GGGGGGGAAGGGAGAGAGGGAAGAAGGGTGGGAGGAAAGAAGCGAAAAAAAATGGGAGACAGGAAGACAGTGGAGTGAGGGAGGGAAGGAGGGAGCAAACATATGATGAAAGGAGCACCAGTAAACGGTTCAGGGGAGCCATCCAGCCAAGTGGATGACTTGAGTAGGGGGATGGTGCTTCGAGTCGGTCTATCCTTTGGCGAAAGCAGTGGGAGTGCCGAAGGGGTTGACATTTGGGCCAGGAAACGCCCACCAACCCATATCTCTCTAACCCACGGGGTAGGTTTGCAACTTTGCACCACAGTGTTCGTGCAAGAGCAAAGGGAGTGGATGGTATGGCAAAGGGGTGGTGCTAGCCCGTTAAACCACCAGTTCATGCCAGCTATCAGCCGCGGGCCCCTTTCGGAGGCCTCCCACGGCCGATTCATTTTCTCTATGGCACTCAACCTCCTAAATTTTCGGAGAGGATCAAAACAGGTTCTCCAGTTGCCTGGGGCCATGTACTGGTGGTTTAAAAGGGCCTAAGCGCTTCTCACAATCTGCGGCTATGCCGCCTCATCAGAGAGTGTGCCCCCTCAAGCTTCCACACATTCAATGAGGCAGGCCAGTGCCTTAAGGGCCTTCAAGCACTTTTCGCCATCTGCAGCTATGTTGGCTCATCGAAGAGTGTGTATCCTCAAGGTCCCGCACATTCAATCAGGCACTGCCAGGCTAATGCATCTTCAGCAGAGGTGCGTTTACCACACTGTTCTTGCCCTCTACTGCAGACAGGTCTTCTGACTCTTTCCTCTCTCATAAGATCAGCATGCACCTCTCAGCGAAGGTGTTGATGGACGCTGCAGTAGGCCTGTTTGCTCGAACTCGAATGGAGTCGTCTCTTGTGGAATTGCAACACCTGAGCTGCGCGGGTTGTGGCGTTCCTCCTTCTCTATAAAGCTAAGGGTAGTGCGTATCTTTAAAGGTAGGGGAGGGAGAACGTGGGCAGTGAGTGGGTTGGGAGGTCAACAGTGCATGGCGGAGGGGTGTGGGTGGTAGTAGCTGCCTACAGGTGGAGAGTGTTTGGGTGCATTTGAGGGATGGGGTATGGGAGGGATAGGATTGTGAGCAGAGGAAGATGTCTAGGCAGCAACGTACCAGCAGGGTTACCAGGCACAGATCCAAACATTCGGGAATACATCGATGAAGGACAAAAGGCAACATCCTTAACGATTACATTGCATGGACCACAAATAATAAGTGCATCTCAACACAGAAGGCAGTACCGACAAGAACGCACCGACCAGATCCACCACTTGTCCAAAAGAATTAGGAGAGCCCTCCAGGAGCACTACTGCTTAAAACACCACGGGAGTCCCCCATCGTCCATGTGTGTGTGTGTGTGTGTGTGTGTGTGTGTGTGTGTGTGTGTGTGTGTGTGTGTGTGTGTGTGTGTGTGTGTGTGTGTTTCAAAAAATGCTAAACTCCCTCTCTCATTCCATCAGCAAATCATCACAAGCCATCCAAAATAGATATTAGATTGACAATATAATAGAAGATGCAAGGTTGGCTACATTGGTGTGGTTAAGCGCCAAGTGCCCACACACCCGACTACCGTCAAAGCGACACACTTGCACAACTTATATACGTATATAACATCAAACAGAGCTTCCCGGTATATATTTTGTCGTCCATAGAAGGATGAAGGCAGAAGGAAACATACTCAACATGGAAGGGTCCACCAACAAAGAAAGCACTGACCACATTCACCAATGGTCTGAAAAAGCTTGTTATTGAATACCTTCAACTCTTCTTCAACAGGGACTTAAAAAAATCTGGCTTTTTTTTTTTTTTTTTTTTTTTGTTGTTGTTGTTGTTTTTCGAACACCGGCTCCGATCTATTCGTGGGGAGCAGCACGTGCTGAGAACCGGGCTTATTGTTTTCCACATTCAGAATTGTTTGATGTCTGTGTAGTTCAGACCCGCAGTACTTTATAGCAAGTTCGTACCGTTCTGATAACACTCATTTGGATTTCTGCGGCCTTGTGGTGCGAGAGAGGTTTTCACCTCTTATCTATGTCTAACAAGTGTGAAAATGGAACTACATGGATTGTAGCGATTGGCAGCTGGAGCGGTGTCGGATATGGACTATGGCTATCTTGGAAGGAATCCTCACAAGCTCATGTTCATCTGCAGCATGCCATGTGGCTCTCACAGATTGGATTGCTATGTCTTTCTTTAGGTGAGTGGGGACCACTTCACCATGGAGACCCAGTTTGGCACAAACACTCATTTCCGCTCCTCTGGTAACTCCTTAGACTCCATTATCTGCAGGTTAAACCAGAGAAATAGAACACACGCGCACGTGTGTGTGTGTGTGTGTGTGTGTGTGTGTGTGTGTGTGTGTGTGTGTGTGTGTGTGTGCGCGCGCGCGCGCGCGCATGTACGTGTCAATGTGTGCACATGCACATGTGTGTGTGTTACAATACGTTACCCTATGGCAAGAAATGCCACGAACCCCACAGCAGGCTGTGGTACGACTGTTCTACTGCAGGTTTATAGGCTGCACCCGGTCTTATATGTAGCCTCTGACCAATAAGCATACTCATTCCTTGTCCAGATTTGACGCTGATGCTCCCCACCTTTCGAAGTACTTCATTCATCATTAATGCAAAATTTCAATGAACACACTGTTTGCTTTGTGCATGAATCCTTCAGACCTCAACTCCTTGTGCGATGATCATGGCGAGTACAACATAGAAGGATAATAAGAGGAGGAAGGTGAGGTGACCCTGATTAGTCGGGAGGCGGGGAGTGATCTGTGTGTGTTGTTGTGGTATAATGCCTCCCTGAGTTTGTTAATCTCTAGGCTGAGGGCCATGTTTGCCCTCATAAGCTGTCTAATCTCCTCGTTACCTCTATCCCTCGTACGTAGTGCAATATCTTCAAAATCATCTAATAGGGAGCGGTGCTGAGTGTAAATCTCCGAAAACACCGATGCGGCCCATTGTCTGATCTCCGTATAGTCGTTAGTCGAGGGAGCATCATAGTGGTAAACGGGGGACACGGATGGGGGATCCCCCCTTCTTATCAGAACATCATTCAGTAGCGCAATGTGTCTTTCGATGGCGACAAGTTTTACGATAAAGGTATCTCTAAAAGGTGGCAGGTCATCCATAGTCGCGCCTGGTGCAAGGGTAGTGCAGGCTTGTAATGGGCAGTTATTGGGGTAGGATGGCGAAGATGTCTCTAGGTCCCACCCTTGTGGTTTTCCAAAAGGACTACCTGATAGTATGACGTGCTTATCTGGATGCTGGTGGGTACGCAGAGAATCCTATTATACTCAGGATCCGGGAATCGCCGAGTATATTGCCAACACCCGGATACAACGCAAGGTCATGGTGTGATAATTGAAAGGAAGTGAGGTGTCTGGTTCTATTTAGTTACGTATCGAGACTACTGTCGATTCCCACGAGGAGGGTTCACATGCACATTGGCTGTCTTTTAAGGTTTGTCCTACATGACTCCCAATAGATCGTGTAATAGCCCATACTTATTCAGTTAATCGTAGACCCTACTATTCCATCGAGCAATCAAGAAAGTAGTTTAGTTATGCATGGGGGGAAGGAGAGGGCCCGTATGCACGTTCTCCAGAGGTTTTATACTCGTATGCAACTAAACAAGGAAGGGACATCAGACTAGCATATTCTTCATGTGTATCGGAAGAACCGCGTAGGTTCATTAGTGAAAGTAGTGGGGCGTGGCAGGTACTCGATCCAACCATTCGTGTTGGAAAGTAGCATTCGAGCCGTCAAAAGCAAATAATAATAATAATAACAACAATTATTTATAGAGGTAGCTGGAATGAGGAGGGGCGGAGGAAGATAAGTATAGGCACATAACAGAGGTAAGATCGACGCTCCCGGCTAGGTAGACAACCAATCAATGCTACATATGCTACCGCCCGCGTGTCCTATTCGACGGTCCACATACTCCTACCCCGGTGTTGTACAACGCTTCCAGAGACCTTGTCATACGAACTCGTAGAGTCGTAGTGCGTCCGCACCGACTGTCAGGACTCAGTCGAACACTTATGCCATCAGAGTGTTGCAAAAAGAAAAACGATTTCACTCTGGAATTTCACAGGTGTAAAGGAGGCTTGGGGGGGGGGGTGTGTGATGAGAGCGAACAGGTGCTGGAATATTTTGCTTAATCGAGGTGATCGTAGTCATCTAGATCGTCATGTGGGCGGTTCAGAGCCCTTCTATATGTTGTCGTCTGAACGCTACGGCCACTCGGGTCAACGAAATCCCAATAGTGCGTAGTTGAGGGCTGAAGATCATGCAGAACCTGAGTAAGGTATAACAGGGTGAAGGGGAAGAAGTTCAATGGATAGTCATGATGAGTTGTTAAGAGGAAATAGTAAGGCTAATCATGCAAGATGTCACTTAATCTAATAGCAGAATTAAAGGTAAAGGGAAAGGGAATCAGCATAGTGCCCAGTAATACTCCGTAGAATACACAACAAGGAGGCGAATAACCAAGGTGTTTGAATACGTTGTGAGGGAGGGAGGAGGGAAGGGGGTGTTCCATCTCATTGTCCGATCTCTCAATCTGATCAACCAAGGCTCCATGTACCAAAAAAAACGTACTAGGCCTAGCTAAGATTGGCAAAGGCAAGATCCATCACCATTGTGTCCATTCAATTTCCAACTATTAATTATTAGTGAGAGGTCGATGCAATCAGCAAAACAGGTCCTCATTGAGAATCGGTAGAACCGTCGCCCCTCGGACAAGAATTTTAGACTGCGTCATTCCATGTTTGTAGAGTACCACCATTCCCTCCCTCTCTCTCTCTCTCCCTCTCTCTCTTTCTTACACAAGCCTTTCAGATTCTATACCCCTAACAGGTCACTATGAATAGAGAGAAAAAGGAACAAAGTCTGGTGATGTCGAACCCATCCAGAGACAATCCCGTTTTAATCTAACATGGGTTCGATGCAATCGAAAGAAAATTTATGCATTTTTACTGTCCAACCCTTCAGATTGATCGAACAAGGCTTTATGTAACAGAAAACCTCAAAGGTAACGTACTAGGCTTGGCCAAGGATGTACCAGCACTATTCTGTCCGTTTAATCCGTACTAGGCTTGGCCACGGATAACCGCTAACACCCCCCCCCAAAAAAAACAGCACTATTGTATCCGTTCAATCCTTGATGAAAAAAAAACCGAAATGTCTCTCTCACTCTCTCTCTCTCCCTCTTTCTCTCTCTCTATTCCTCTCTCTCTCTCTCACTCTAACAAAAATCTGGTGACGTCAAATCCTTCCAGAGACAAACCTTCTTAAATCGAACATAGGGCCGATGCACTCGAAACAATTTTTATGCATATTTATTGTCCAATCCTCTCAGTTTGATCAAAACAAGGCTTCAAGGAACCGAAAAACGTACTAGGTTTGGTTAAGGATGACCGCTAACTGATGCACCTATTGTATTCAGACAGCAGGAAAAATTCCCATTAAAAATTGGTAAAATCATCTTCCCTCAGCCAAGAACTTCAGACTATGACATTCTGTATTCGTAGAGTAGCACTATCCTCTCTCCTATCGGATTCTAGACTTCGACGTATCTCCTACTAATCAATACGAAAAGTGAAAATAACAAGGACCGGCGATGTCAACCCCATCCAGAGACGATCTTTTTTTTTTTTTTTTTTTTTTTTTTTTTTTTTTTTTTTTTTTTTTTTTTTTTTTTTTTTTT